CATCGGGCTCCCTGCTCAGCAGGGAGTCTGCTTCTCCCTCTGACCCTCCCCCCCTCATGCTCTCTCTCTCTCTCATTCTCTCTCTCAAATAAATGAATAAAATCTTTAAAAAAAAAAAAAAAAGAAACAGCTCTAAGAGGGGAGCGTAATGATGTGGATTCCAGGACAAGCCCCAGGATGGATAAGCCATGAAGCTCTAGCCAATAACAACCTTTTTCCCCAGGGTACACATTGCCAAGGTGGTTAGGACCAGGCCATTCCTAACGCACTTACAGACTTAGAATCCCAGGAACCACTATGTTAACAAGAACTCTGGGTGATTCTCATAAGGCCAAACCACTGCCACGGGGCCCACAGACGAACAGTTCTGCAGTTGCTGGGAGTGTTAGCTGAACTCTTTAAATGGCACAGCAGACCCGTCAGGTTAGAATCATCTCTAATTGGTGATCTCGTGAACTGCAACTTCCCTAACCATGAAAAGGCCTGTAAATTTCATTCCTCTAAGAAGAAACATGTTAAAAGGCAAAATAATAATACAAAGAAGGACTACGAGCAATAATCATTAAAATTCACTGCATTGTTCAGTAATATTTAAGTCTGGAGAATAAAATAAACAAAAACCAAACATGTTATAATTTCTTAATTGCAAGATTTCCAATAAGAATTGGTATGTGATATAAGACGGGCTTAATGTTTGTTTTTTTGTTTTGTTTTTTCGGTTTTTTTTGTCATGGAGACATGTCAAGAAACCATGTACCACCCTTTCTTCCATCCTTCACATCCCTAAACATTCCCAACCAGCCTTCCCCCTTCTCTTTTACTAACAATGGTTTCACCTAAATAAGAGCTATTTTTGCTGATGCCTTAGTACTTCCCTCCCTCCATACACCCTTCCTCTTTCTCCCACTTGACCAAGTTCTCTGAAGGCAGGAAATGTGGTCTTCATCTTCATTTTGGGGGAAGAAGGGGAGCTATCTCGCCCCTATTTGGCACAATATGCGTTTTCCATACATTCTAAAAAGTATATATAAAGAATTTAGAAATCTAGGTACTATTGAAATGGGTGGTATTATCTGTACCTCCAACTTAAAAAAACAAAAGCGCTCACTGCCTTCTGTTAGAGCTCCTTAAGGAGCGATGCAGAGATTAATGGGAACCTCTCACCTTGGTCTTCAAGGATCTCTCCACCTGAAGACTGGGCAAGATTACAAAGAATCTCTGTGCACACTCCCTCAGGCCAACCCCACCAGCTGTGGATCCCGACTCGTAATTTTAAAAAGGTCCCAATGTGATTCTAACAGAAGGGCAGCTAAGCACCACCAAAATCTCTAAACCATCTCCTCTAGTTACTTAAATACTAGTCAACTGTATGTTTGGTCTTTCTTGAATTACAGTCCTTGGATGCACCCACGGTCACCATTCACTTACGGAAACACACGGGACAACAATGGTTATTCTGTTTTCAGAAACCAAGTGAGGTCACCGCAGTTAGGAATATATTCAGTTCTCCTTGCTGACGGTGAGCTGTATCTTTCAGAAAAGTCCACTCTCCTTTATTCTTAATATTGCCTTTCCTGTCTTTCCACTGAATTGGGAGATTCCATCTACAGTTAGCTGATGTTACCTGTGGGTTGGAAAACATTTTGGGATTTCATATCCCCTGGACTCTCACATGTATCCACCGAAGGCCCTGAAAAGACTCAACCATGAAATCTGCCACATACATTCCCATACAAAGCTTAAAGTGGGCCAAGAAGACATACATTAACCTCTCCTTGGAAAACTTAATCTGAAACTTTTTGATGAATAATTTACACAGCTCTGATTCACTAAAATTTCTAAAATTTCATTCCAATAGGAATGAGTATGAATACAAAAAAAGAATTCACTAAGCTAGTAAAGTACTAGTAGCATTTCATAGAATACTAGTACTATTATTATTAATTAAAATATGGTGATGACAACCCTACCAATACAGTACAAGAGGGAAAGTAACAGTGACTGAGTCCAGAGACTCTGGAGCCAAGACTGTTTGGGCTCACATCTACCGCCTACTAGTTGTGTGACCTCAGTCAGCATCCGTTTGGTTTCGTCTTCTCTGGAATCGGTAAATAGTAAAACTCACCTCATTGTTGTTGGATCAACACGTGCACACGCACACGCACGTATACACACAGATGCAGGTCACTTACAATGGTGCCTGGTATGCCAGGACTCACTTAAACTCCGTCTCTCCCCCTGCAACCCGATCCTCACACACAGCACAGTGACCTTCAAATCCGTATTTGCTCTTATTGCTCCCCTACTTAAAACTCTCCCTGGCTTCCACCATCCCCAGGGCCAGCTACAAAACCCTTAAACACCATGTACAGGACCTTTCACAAGTGGATTCCCACCTAGCTCGCCACTTGGGGGCTCCACGTGAAAAATATCTTGCAGGCCCAGACAACTTAGTTTTTCCAATGGGCCATCCTCTCAGCTCGGGGTCTTCATCCATTTTCTCTGTTCCCCTCTTGGTTCAAACCCTTCACGACTCATCACTTTCAGGGGAACAACCATAATCCTTAGATGGGCCATGGTCTGGAACCCACTAATTGAAACTTAGGGTCAATAACCCAGATCACCCCCAACTTAGATACGATACAGCCATTCATATGAGAAAGGATGCTCACTACCCACGTGTTCCACCTGCTGAACTTTATGACACGTAAGGTGATGGCAGATGTTATGACGTCACTACTCCGGAGGAAGATCCCTGAATTCTGAGTCTCGAGTGAATGGCGTCCTCTCTGTATGCCTCTGTCTTCTGTTTGCTGTAGGTGCAATTTTTAAGTTATTTTCACATTAAGGAGTTGTTTCTCTGTTCATGGAACTGCAAAGAGCAGAGCAAGGCATGCTTTTTAGAAAATACAAGTCTGGGTGATTTTAAGGACAGCGCTCATTTGATCTCATTATTCGGCCAGGTAATTGACAGGAAAGAATGTCCTAATTGCTCATTAACTCTGAAGATGTCCCCCTTGCACGGTGTCAAGGTCTAAGAGACACAGGGTACACAGCATCTGTACAAACAGCTGCTGCTTTGGGGGACAAAGCTTTAGTTTCATGCAGCTAAAAAAACAGCAGATGTTTTTGATTTGGGCTTTAAACAATCTTATCTATAATCGAGTAGAATTTGGTGGGGAGTTATTTTCTCCTCGGGCTAATAAGATGAACCACATTGCTGGTTAAATGCTATTTTTCCAGGGCCACATGGTTTTTCACAACCTTCGCTGATGGAAATCATTTTTGGTTCGATTGTAATCTGCCAAAATGTAATCTCCTCCGGAGAAAGGCTCTCCCGTGAAGCTCTTTCACATCCACCCACCCGTCCCTATATGCAGGGGACCATAATGAGTAAAATCAGAGCAGAAACACGCCATCAGCGTAGGCACACCTCAGGTCCCTTCCTCACAGCATACAAAGAAATCCAGAATTCCACTGAACAGATGCCCACATACCAAGAAGAATGGTCTACATGTTTCTGTGATACAGAAAACATTAACATGATAATTAGTAAATCATCAGGGCTACTAAGGGCTAGGAAATGTTCTAACTTGACAACCGTCATCGTGTCAAAATTACGCTCAAAATGGGCCTTGCTGGCCTGAGTTATCTAAGTCAGGGGCTTAGTCCCCTCTGCACCCCCAACTGTCTCACCAAAAAGCATCCTCTACACAAAAGCAAATTACTGGGGGTTTAGAATTTATCTTTGTCACCGCAGCATGTGCCAAAAGAAGGGCCCTGCGAACCCCCCGAGACGCAGCTTATTTAAAGTTGTAATGAAGACAGCAGGTGTTCTATACAGATGTCACTTCTTCTAGAAGACACTTATTAAACACTTTATCTCCCTTAATGTCGAAGGACTAGCTGCATTTTGTTTTCTTTCAGCATCACTGTAGCCAAAAGCAAACTGTTTCTTTTTAGTCTCACTGAGCTGAAAATTAAAAACTACTGGGCTTTGGGTGGTTTAGGTTGATTTGTAAAGAATTCTAAATGCAGTGATTCAAGAGTCAGCCCATACTGTTTTCTGGTAACACAAAACTGTATTTTGCAATACAAAAATGCTCTTCCACAGAAAGCACGCCATACTTCTCCTCTCCCTGGTGACCCAAACCTCTGCGTTCCAACTACCACACAACCTTTCACTCAGATGAAGCGGAACAGATAGGAAAGGACCACTCTCCATAAAATGTACGAAGCTTTACATTTCATATACATACTGTCAGGTAAAATGGAACTGCCTGGTGCCATGGTTCCTAACCTGTGTGCTAAAGCAGCCACAAACTAGGAATCCAGTGTGTCCTGGGACCTTAAGAAGGAAATCACTACAGTAGGCAGGGGGAGCTAGCTACTGATGACAGGAGCAGCGGGCCTTCTTGTCTGCAGGGTATGGATAACTTTAGCTTGGAAGGTTCAGAATAGAGAGGAGAAGGGAAAGAGATAAGCAAAAAGGAAAAGGGGAGACAGGATCTCACTGGGCTCTTCTCAGTCTCCCCCATCACTCTGACTGCCCATCAGGAGCCCGCAGAGGTTGGGAGCATGAATGCATGATGTAGAGGTGTCTGAATTTCTCTGCAGCAACCTGATGCCTTCAACAGAATGGGGCCTGGAGAGAACATCAGAGAAGAGCATGGCTAATACTGAATATTTTTAGCAATGCATAGATTCATTTTAATAATATGTTTTTCCTTCTAAAGGTTCCACATGATTTTGCAGAAATTTTAGAAAATGAAGTTAAGCCAAAACAAGAAAATAAAAGTCACCATAATCTTATTCTTGAGAAATAAGGATAATTGGCATTTTGTTAAATATTATCCCAATCTTTTTTACAGCACATTTACTAGGTCTTCCAAAAATAAATGGGTTTTTACTAAGAATACTGCTTATATCCCTGCTTCTCATCTGATACACTGTGAACCTGCCTCTCTGTCTTTTTAATGACTGAGTATTATTCTACATCATGATTTATTACTCTGTCCCTTATCATGGCATGATTAGGCCATTTGCAATTTTTCCAAAGCAGATGATTTCAATGTAATTTTAATCAGCTTAATATTTATAGTAATCTTCATAACATTGCACAATTTCAGTCCTGTGTTATAACAAAAATAGATTTAAATAACACAGATGTGACACAGGAAGATTTCTGGTCCCTAATTGAGATTCATGAAGATATATAAATACATATTATGCATGATTCTCACATCTGGCTCTCCATAACTAAGTACAACAGAATTATAAATAGTTCTGGACCCTTGGAGAACTGCCATGTGATGAAACTAGACCACTGTGAAAGCTATTTGTGATTCTATAATAAATGGAAATCAACATATGACTCTTGATTTTTCTTACTAGCAACACAACACAACAAAATGGATAGAAGACTGCACGACTCTGAGCAAGAGGACTTTGAGAGGCAGAGCGGACAGCATTAGAAATTCTCTCGGGAATAATTCCCACTCACAAGGAGCGGGAGAAATGTGTAACAGCCTGATGTAAAATTCTGATGTCTTCAGCCACACTTAATGTGAGCACATATTCTTTTTTGTTCTGAATCATTTCTCTTCAAAAAGGAAAGCTACTGAACAAAAACAGAGCCCTATTTAAATGAACGATACAAATATCTTTAATTAAAATGTCACTAATGTGTCTGTATTAAAAATATTTTCATGCTCATATGCTACAAATTTTTGTAGAAATGAATGACAGCCAAGCAGATGATTTATGATTGTGTACAGTAAGCATTTTTTTTTTTTTTTTTGGTGTGTGTGTCCTATAAGGTACCTGAGATGAAGGTTTCTTGTGTAAAAACCAACCAAACAAAAGAACTTAGCCAACCATTTATGGACAGGTGAGGACCACAGTAAGAGAAATGTCCTTGTTATTCTAGAAGTAATAGTCTTTCTAAATGTAGCCCAGACTGTTCCTGAGCAGCCACACCCATCTCAGTTCTCAGAATTCTGAATTCGGGAAGATCACAACAGCCAATCCACCTCCCAGAGCACAAACAAAACTCCAGCTCAGTACCGTCCTGACTATATGGAGAGCAGTCTCTACTGTAACTGACAATTCGGCGGCAGCCTAGAAAAGCTTCTTCTAAAAAGGGTCTGTTGTATGATACAAAAGTGTCCCAACTAGGAACAGAGAAGTCTGGCCTCCTTGTCTGTTGTTTACAACTTAGAATGTGACCCTGGGAAAATCATTTAACTTCTCTGTGCCACCTCTTCACAATCTGAAAAACGAAGCTAACTACAAATGCTTATTTCGTAGCGCAGTGTGGGTATGTGAACCTTCCCAGCACCATGGACAGGCACTTAATTCTTGTTGACTTGGAAATAATTTCACCAAAGCATTTGCGGTGCTTTCTTTTGGGCGCCCATATTATGGATAGCTGCAAGGATACACCTCAAATGTTATGTGGTTTTTCTCTGGGTGGTGGGGTTATGGATTATTTTTTTGTCTTCTTTTCTTATTTGTATTTTCCACAGTGAATATATATTGCTTTTTATAACTAGAATGACAAATGCTGCCCAAATCATAAAAGACCATGATAGATGAGCTCAGGTACCCGTCATCACCTGTCTCAGGTCCTCAGCACCATCTACCATAGGACATCTGGAATTCAGGTAGAACTTCCAGAAAAGGAGTTGAGTGCTGCCCACTCCCATGGCAAAACAAAAGCAGACCCACACAGCAATGACGGTGCACATCTTAACCGGTGTTAGCACACATACATGAGAGCCACCTGTCACACTTCCTCACCCATCTCCCCCTTCCCTGGAAGGCCAGGTGGACTCTGCCCCTGGCGACAGGGGAAAGCTGAAAGTCTGTCTGGGGTCAAGAACAGAAGGCTCACGCAGGGGTTCAGCTCTAGGGTAGCCTCATAGGAGCCCTAGAAATGTGGGTTCAATCTCGCACCTTCTAGGGAGGTCCTGACTTCCAAGCTCCTCACACCTGCCTACTTTACACCTGCGTCCCCAGGGCAGGACACTGTCAACAGTAACCGAGGCCAAGCTCACAGACATGTATATAGATGGTGAAGGGCTTCTCTGAGTCTGTTTCCTCATTGGGTGAAAGCAGGTGTCAGATATGATGACCTCTAAGGTCATGCTCACTGCCAGCATATCACAGTTACATTTGAAAATGGTGCTGCTTTGTCTCATTCTTCGTCACTGACTTTAAAAATAATTTAAATAAATTAAGCAAAGGATCACAACAACACATCCTCCCCAAGATTTAAACTGAAGTCATGTGCTTAATATGCTCAACGATGTGGCTCTTTACAGACCCCAAACTCATGACTGGTGTTGTAGTTCAACTCACAGATGAAGATGGAATATTAAGGCACAGTCATGCAAAATATTATATATACTTTTGATGTGTAATTATAATGCTGAAAGAGGAATTATAAAGGCTCAAATAAAAAGAAAATAAAATCCGATTCACTGAAAATATCAACTACTGAGTCTATGTAACAAAGTCTGAGCCTTCAGCTCAAAAAAAAAAAACTGTTTTGTTTTATATTTTAGTATAAATACGCAGGATTAGAAACTTCCTCATACCCTTAATTGTTTGATTAATAAGAACGTAAGATCCACTGTAATTTTAAAGCACTCTATGATATCTCTTTTCCAAATTAATACACTTCTGTAGAAACAACAAGAGTTTCTTAGGCCTAAATTGTTTTCTGCAATTATTTGATTTTATGAAAGACTGAATATACACATCAATTACTTCTGAGATTAAAAACTGTATAGAGAGCTTGAGTATACAA